ACTCTGAAGCTTACCTTAAGTGGGACAATTTGTGTATTTATCTCAGACACTGAGTTTCCCAGTGAGATGACTTAGTGAAAAACAAAAGCATCTGGTGCATGTGCAGGAAGCAGAAGAACCTGAGAGCAGAAAACCACAAACCCCTCTCCCCCAGCACCCACCCTGCCCCACACCTATTGGCCTAAGTGGCAGAAATCTCATGGGATGGATGTGGGGTAATGGGGAAATCTATGAGCTCTAGGATCAGGCTGTTTGAGTTCAAATAGTAGCTCTACCATTTACTCTTGAGTGACCTTGAACCTCTCAATGCTTCTCTTTTCTCTTGTGTAGTTAAAGGTGATGAGAGGACTTACCTTGGAAATGATGATTACATGAGATTACAGACACAGGACTGTCCAACAGTATCTGAACGTGGTGAGTGTTCAAGCAATTGAAAAGGTGTTATCATCCTACCTCCTGAAGTTATGATGCTTCAACCACCATTAAAGGATATAGATATGTATAAAAATATAACTACAGATGTAGATCACACAAGAAGGAGACTCTATATCTTTTATCTCCTTCCTTCCTTCTCACCCCCATCAGTCATGGAAAAGAGATGCCAAGATTATAATGCATAAACTTCTACTCACTTTACCAAGAGAGATGCCTACTTGTCTCAAAAGTTTGGAGAAGGTAATGGGTAAGTTTAGAAAAGCAGAAAAGAGAGAAGGTGTTTGAGAGACAGAGAGAACTAAACATCTGTTCATGCACATTTCATGTAGACTTAAAAAATTTTGAAGTAAACAATAAGGAAAGGTCTTTCAAAAATGTGTGTGTGTGCATTCCCTCACACTCACACACACAAACACACACAGATACATGCATCTCAAATCTATATAGAATATGGACTCACATGCTAGTACACAGGTTGTTTTGAGGATTAAATAGGATGATTTGAGGATAGTAGATTTTTAAATGCTCAGTAACATACTTGACACACAGGCACCATGCCACACATCATCAACAAAATTTCCTGAGTAAACAGCAGAACTTGAACCTTAGGGTCTCAGAGTGGCCTAATGGGAGATGACTACTCTTCAATTTAGTTCCCTGTGTTTTTTGATTTTCCGCAGTCAGCCTCCACTGAGAAGCCGTATCACGTGGTTAAAAGAACAAGCTCTGGAGCTTCTCTGCCTGGACTTAAATCCAGCTGAACCACTGCCTCACAAAGGTGATGTTGGACAAGTTACTGTCTCTGCCTCAGTTTCCTCATCTGCAAGTTGAGGATAATAGTCGTAGTTCTCACACAGGGATGTTGTGAGGATTAAAGGTTTTAACACGCACAGAACTGTCACTGTTGTGGTTTGAAGTGTCATCTGTTTTGATGCCTCTGGTACCCAGAATAAGGTGATAGACCAACAGAGAAGAAGCCCAGATCCCTGATCTCATGCTCTCAAGCCTTCTGTGAAAGCACTGGATGATGTGTCCTGTTTTTGTTGCAGGTTCTGAGATTTCTGAGGGTCAGGAGGAGGTCCAGGAGTAGGGAAAGAGAATTGTACCCCCGAAAAGTGCTCACCTGTGAGGCTCAGCAGTAGAGTCAGCAGCATGCAAGAAGGAGGGAGGGGCCAGGAGGCAGGGACAGGCATCCTGGAGGTCTGAGGAGCCTGCTCTGTCCTATTGTGTGCTGGGAGAGCTGGACTCTGCTCTGTGAGAGAAGAGAGGCCCCACCTCCTGTGATACAAGAGGAAGTGCTCAGGATGGGGTGCAATGGCTGTGAGACAGTTAGCCCACTTCCAGATTCAAGATAGTTTCTGCTTCCAGATTGTGAAATAGAATTAGGCAGAGAAGGCAGCCATAGGGTGAACAGCTGCTTATCTCATGTTGTCAGAAAGATTTGGACAGGCCTACAGGAAGTAGTGCTTCCCCTGCCTGGGACCTCTGCTCTCCACTGGGTCCCTCGCCCCAGCTGAGATCTTGAAGGTGATGCCCCACTTGGGGGCCCAGGAGAAGAAGGGTTTGTGGTTGTGTGTGCTGTGCCTCAAACTCCCAAGTCTGGGACCCTAGAATGTAGCCAGCTGTGGCCTCATCCTCACCAGCCTCACCAAGAGCTGCCCAGCTGAAGGAAGGAAGAGGGTTCACCAGAGCCTGGGCAATGTTGGGATGGAACCTGGTCTGCTCCTGAATGGGTCCCTAGTCCAGCCCTTTATTGATACCACTGGAAAAACATAGCCAAATGCAAGTGTTCAGTGGACCTCAGAACTTGTATGTGCTTCCATCCAACAAACAGAATAGTATCCTCACTTCTCGTGGGAAAGGAAGTAGATTATATGCCCACAATTACATTCCCAGGCATTTATCTCAGAGAAATAAAATACTATGTCCACACATAATCCATGCATGATTTGTATAGCAGCTTTCTTTGTAATAACAAAAAACCAGAAACAACCACAATGTCCAAGAACAAATGAATAGTTAAATAAACTGTGATGTCCCCATATAAGGAAGTATTAATACTACTCAGAAATAAATAAGAATGGATTATTTACATGAGCAACGATTTGTAAATTTCTCAAAGGCATTATGTTGGGTGAAAAAATTCAATCTCAAAATGTTGCATACTGTATGATTCCACTTATATCACATTCTGGAAACTACAGAGTGGAGAGCAGACTGGCATTTGCAGAGGTTGGCGCAGTGGGGATGGGGATGACTGTAAAGGTGAGCACAGGGGACCTCTGTGGTCATGGAATTGCTCTGCATTCTGGTCATGACAGTGGTGACACCAACATACACCTGAGGGACCAACACAGCACAGCAGGGAATGTTACAAGATTCAGCTGTACACATCAACCTCAAGTCATTATAATGTAGACACTGACTATCCTGTTGCCCAAAAGTTAGAATATAATGGTAGTAGGGTGATGGGAAGTAGAAAGGGTGCGTGTGCAGCATGAGGTCAGGAGTATCAGCACCTGATGTCTCTGTCATTCTGGTGGGACGTCCATAATGATGCCTTCGAGTGAGAAACTGAGGAGTAAAACAGAAGCACGCTACAGGAGATGCGGCAACAAGGTCTAAAATAATCGGTTCAAAGGCTGAAAATGGTTGCTTCTCAGAGGCAGAAAATGGTGAGAAGTTAGGGAGATGCCAGTTTTCACATGTAGGATTTATGGAACTAGCTGACATTTTAACTGTGTGCGTATATAACGTTGATAAAGGCAATAACCACTTGTAGATAATTAGATTAATGTTGTTATAAGAGTTACACATAAAAACAGTGCCCATACTATGAGCACTAGTAGGACTTTTTATAAGCTATTGGTTGTAAGATTGATGATCAAAACCAATTACCATCCTAAAGGGTATTCAAAGACCATTTAAAACAGTAATTATGATTTTAAAAGATTCCATAAACTAGAAAACATTAAAGATAGCTCTAATTAGAAACACATGAGAACATTTATGGAGGTGGGAAACATGTGAAATTGTGAACTAAGAGTCTTAAAAGAAAACCTAAATAAATAGAAGTATATTATGACCATGAATGGAAAATGCAATATTTAAAACATCTCAATTTTCCTGAATAAATATATAAATTCAATGTAATTTTATAATAATTCTAAAGAAATTGTTTGTGAAACTTGACAAAGGCATTCTAACATGCATTTGGGCCAAGTATAGCCCCAAAAGAAAAGGTGGAAGATTTGCCCAAAAGAGGTATCGAAGTTATTACAAAGCTATCCTAATTAAGACAAAGTAGTTCTGACCGTGAGACAAGCAGCTTAATGAAGCAGAAAGCTCGTAAAGAGAACCATGTATGTATGGAAATGTGATATATGGCAAAGGTCCGTGCGGATCAGTGAGTGCTGGGTAATTTATCCTCATGGAAGGAATAGAACAAATTGATTGACAGTTGCCAGATGGGAGAGCGGTTGGAGGGCTGCTTGAAAAGGTGAAGGGACTGAGAAGTACAAACTTGTGGTTACAGTCATGGGGATGTAACGTGCAGCATAGGAAATATAATATAGCCAATAATATTATTATAATTATATATGGTGCCAGAGGATACCAGAAATATTGAGGGATCACTTTGTGAATTGTATAAATGTCTAACTACTATGATGCACACTAAAAAACTAATATAAAATACTATTTAACATCAACTGTAATTGAAAAAAAAGATCCCTACCAAATACACATCGACACACACACCTGAAAAATATGCTTAGGTCAGAAGTATCAATGGAAAGAGCAAAACTTGATCAAAAACTGAAAACTTTTCTTTGTGTAACAAAAGCTCCCAGATGACACCAACACTGCTTCTTTGTTGCCCCACTAGGGGAACAGGAGGGACTCTCCCTACGTGCCCGGAAACAAAGATAGAATGTTTGTTGTGAAGCTGCACTAGCAAAACATCAGAGAAAGCTTCGAGCCTGTCTGGAGATAAATTATGGCTTATTCTTATAATAGAAAACTGTAGAGCAGTAGGGAATTAAGAAAATGAAGCTGCATATATCAACATTATTCAAACACTCAAAACAATGGTAAGCATAAAAAAATTAGTTCCAGATGTTGTCTACAGAATGACAGCATTTACAGAAAACTTGAAACATGCAAAGTAATACTAGATATTACTTAAGGGTTTGCACACATTGTGGTAAAAGTGTAAGATGCTGGAGAGCAATGAACACACAATTCAGGACAGTGCTCAAAGGGAACAGAGAATACTGTACAGCAGGCCCACAAAGGGCCTGTCCAGCAGAAGTAACGCCCACATTAGTGTGGTTGGTAGGGCAATAATATGGGTGCAATAATTTATAGTTTTAATTTAAAATTTTCACCTAAAATGCTATATGGTGTGCTTGAGTATAATATTGTTATGTTACAGAATTACATGCTTATAATTTTGTAATAAAAGATTTTATAATAAAAAAGGGGTGTTATTTGTGCCAGACCCTGTATAATGGCAAATGTTAATATTCCACAAAGATAGGTGTTAGGTTCATGAATACCTTTAATATTCTTTATATATTTCAGAGTAGTAAAATGTTTATTCAACTCAGTGATTTCAAATATCTAATGTGTTAAAATAAAATCATACTCATAAAAGTTCTGGGTAAAAGTGGAATCTGCTCTGAATATTAAGGGTTGTTCACTCTCAGAGGAGGATAGGAAACCTATTCTTCTTATCTGCTTGGTTCTGTTTTGGGTGGAGACACGGCCAGGCTGAATCTCTACATGCATCAGCCTCCAGACATTCCCGAGTCCCCACGGCCAAAGTTCGTCCTTGACTCAGATTTATTATCAGTGGGGAGGAACATCAGGAGGGTGTGTGGAGGGAGCTTGTCCTTGGTGCAGGTGGGGCTGGCAGAGTGAGGGGAGGGGTCTTGGGTAACGTGCAGGTCCTTGCAGATTCTTCTCTTCAATGGAGCCCCTTGGAGAAGGCAGGAGGCAATGTATCGCAGTGCAGGGAAGAGCTGTAGAAAAATCATTCATTCATTCATTTCACAAACATTTATTGAGCATCTGCTAAGTGACAGGCATTCTGTTTGGCTGGGGTTCATGGTGCAGATCAGAAAGAAAGCCACTCAAAACTACACCCCAACACTTCTTTCTGAAATCTGCACCCCTTCCATACCCACATGCATCTTTACCAACAGTCAGCCCCTTCAAGTCCCTCACAGGAATTGCAGTAATTGAGTTCACCAATACTTTCTTATTCATTACAAAGATAATATATAAAAACTAAAATATATAATAATTTATGGAGGAATCTTTGGAATTTTGGTCTCAAAGTTTTGACCTTCATCCCACCTGCATATCTTGGCCCTCTCACCTCCTGGGTTCCAAAGAACTTAATTTGAAAGCCTTCAAAATCCAGCGCATTATTACAAAGTGCTTGAGAGTTAAAAGCTCTTAGAATTCCAGGAGACATTTGGAGGAAATGAGTGTTCACCCTCTTGTGGGTTGGACCACCCTTGTGGGTGCCATGTGACTTTGTGGGCATGCCCTGGACTCCTCTTGCCAGCCCATTACAATGGTCTGACCTCCTTCCCTAAGGACTACAGCCTGCCCCCAAATTACCTGTTATAGGTTCCACCACCTGTGGATGTAGGTAACTGTGAAACTCACCACCAGCAGCACCTTGAGGCCCAGGAGGAAAGCCAAAAAGATAAGGACAGGTGTCTCTGGTCCTAAAAATACCAGTGGGCAGAAGGAAACATCAACTGGGGCTCCACAAGTTTAAATACTTTCTTTGATGTCATGTTGCTGCAAAGCTTGAGAATTACTAATTGCACCAATTCTATCTGATTCCAAGCTCATGTTCTTTTCTCTACATTCAGCTTCCTCTTGGAAATAAGCAATGATCTTTACTATTTAGCCTCACCTTGAATTCAACTCAACAAATATTGATTTGGAACGTGTGTCACACACCAGCTAATGTGCCAGTATCCAGAGGAACAAGCCTCCACAGTACAGAGCTTGGTGTCCTCAAGGCCTTGTGGTCATTTAAATTAACCTTTAATACAATCTCAGGAGGCTGGTATCATCAGCACCATTTTACAGGTGAGTAAACTGAAGCTCTGAGAGGATAACTGACTCTGCTTCCTGAGTTTACAACACTATAATTACTGTGAACTAAATTTTAAAATAATTTTGTTGGAATTCAAATAATAGTAGCTGACATTTACTGTAGATATATAAGTAGAATTTACATATATTAATTCATTTAATCTTCACAAGGACCCTATGAGTTAGGAACCTTCATTCAGTGAATCTACACTGCATTAGACTCATCCACTGTTGACCACGCCAAAGCACGGAGAGGTCAAGAACCTGTAGAAGAATTAAGTGCAAAGGCCGTCTCTGTCATGACAGCAAATGCCATGGGGTCCACAGGGTAAGGTGGTTCAAGCAAGTCCTAAAGGCGTGCTTATGTGCTTATGTATGGTTATGGACAAGTATCTTCATATAACCCAAAGACACTGTTTTAACAAGAGAGCACTGCTGAAGACCATCATAGAAATGCAGGTAAGTAAGCATCCTAAGATGAACTCTTTAAGGAATTTTCAAGGAGGTTGAGCTGGGAGATTGTTCTTTCCTCAGAAATGAAAGAACCTTTCAAGAGGGCCACATCTAAAGGAAGCCACAGGCCAGAAACTATTCTGGGTATTTAAGGAATCACAGACTCTTAAGTTGGGCAAGCCTTTAACAATTACGCGCACGCTTCCCCATTGCCTTTTGGAATCCACCCAGCAGACAGAGGTGACCCAGCAGTTCATAAGAGAAGAGGTGAGCTTACCTGGGCTTTCAGTAGGCATGTAAGTGGCATGGACTGCTGGGGATAGTATGAGATTGGCCAAGGTAGGAGGCTGTGCCTCATGCTGCACCATACAAGTGAGCACCCGCTCAGAGCCCTGCACTGATGCGTTTACCAACTGCAAGCTTTCCAGGCTGTAGGTCCCATCGCTATTCTGTTTGGATATGGGTTTCTCAGCTCCTGTGAACATCTCGCAGTTCTCCATCCAGGTGAGACGCACACGTTGTGGGTAGAATCTCTGCACATGACAGGTAATAGCCACCAAGTCTGAGGAAGGTGAAGCCTGGGACACTGACACTGCAGGGGGCACTGACACAGAGCAGGGAAAGCAAACAATTACTATAGGAAGTCCACTGTGGGAGACCGGGAGCTCTTCAAGGATGGGGTCATCTGCCCAGGGCCTGCCTGGTACAGAGGAGGATGTAGGCACCGGTCAACAGCTGCATGCCTAAGTAAATGCACGATTGAATGACAGTGTGAATGCATGAGTGAGTGCATGCTGGGATGGATGGATGGATGGATGGATGGATGGATGGATGGAAGGATGAATGGAAGAACGAATGGGAAAAATGAAAGTCATATGCTCTCTCCTTTATTTTCCATTTTGGTCATTAAAAATTAAAAGATAAAGTTTTAATTCCATTTAAGAATTTATGAATCAGCCCTGGCTGGTGTAGCTCAGTGGATTGAGCATGGGCTGTGAACCAAAAGGTCACTGGTTCAATTCCCAGTCAGGGCACAGGCCTGGGTGGTGGGCCAGGTCCCCAGTGTGGGCACATGAGAAGCAACCACACATTGATATTTCTCTCCCTCTCTTTCTTCCTCCCTTCCCTTCTCTCTTAAAATAAATAAATATTTTTTAAAAATCTATGAACCAGTTGACTAATCTATGAGTTGGTAAATTCTAAGACTTGAAGATTCATACACTCTAAATCTTTATGACTCAAAGATGCTAAGGTTTTACATAGGAGGGAACATGGGTTTGGAGCAGTTAAGTAACAGCCTGCCAACACCTTCACCAGGTCACAAGTAGCTGGGATTACGTCAGAGACAGTATGCTTTACCATTATGTCCTTATGTTATTCTGGCACCCAGACTTTAAGGCTGGCTTCTGAAATTTTGATCTAACAGCTTCTAGACTTTTTTTAACCAGGTTTTCAGCTGTGCAATAGAATGTATTGATAATAAGAAAAATTGGAGGATTTTTAAATACTATAAAACATGAAATATCTCAGTACAATTCATATGAACACAGACCATTCTGTAGTTCTAACACTATACCAAGGGATGGGAGGTCAGATTCTGTTCCCACACGGACACCTTAGCCAACTGCAGGATCTTGTGTAAGTCACTTCCCCTGTTCTCAAGACTCTTAAATTATGAAATAGTCTAAGCTAAGATTAGTTTTCACAGGGCTGGTTAAGACAGACTTCAGCTCTTGGTCTAGGGTGGAGAGAGTAACTCCTTATGCTGTGTAATTTGAAAGAACTAAGGGTATCTGATCCCAAAATAGCCTTTCTCCATACTCAACCCACCCAGATCTATTAAATTCTATCAACGATGATGCTAATGGGTACGAGAGCCACAGCAAGACACCATCCCCAGAAGGTCCTAATCTGTACTCAGTCTCTCCCCTTCAGCACACAAGCAGGAATTCACACCAAGCAAAGAGCAGGACCCTGAGAAGGGGAAACCCAAGATGGTGAAGGCTTGGTCACTGGCATGGCAGCTATGGAGAACAGTCCAGGTAAGGTACCATCATGTGTCATGAGCTCTCGATGGTGGCAAAAACAATAGAAGGATGAAGATGCTCAGATGGCCCATTCCAGCCACCAGCGGGGTCTCCTGGCTATCCGATGTCCTTGGCAGGGTCAGGAGGATAGATACCGGGCACAGCTGAGGATAACTGCTTCCATCACTGAATGGCAGTGTTTGAGGCAGTGGGCATATGTTATCTCACTTAATCCTCACAAAACCAAATGAGCCCTGGCTGGTGTAGCTCAGTGGGCTGTGAACCAAAGAGTCTCGAGTTCTATTCCTAGTCAGGGCACTTGCCCCAGTGGGAACCATGTGAGAGGCAACCACACATTAATGTTTCTCTCCCTCTCTTTCTCAGATTTTCCCCTCTCTCTAAAAATAAGTAAATAAAATCTTAAAAAAACAAAAAACAAATGAAATAACCACAAAAAGTTCCTTGTTATCAGAAAACTAAACAAAACAAAAAGCCACTTAGAAGGAATTTATGCAAAATCTATAGAAATTGTCAAAAAGGAATTGGTTGAAACTTCATCTTGAAAAACATTCTAATTATAAAAATGATTTTATTGATTTACATTTTAAATTAAGTATAGAATATAATCAAAGCTCTGCACCAACTTGTAGAAAGAATAAGTGTTGGGAGTGTGAGGAAGTTGGCACAATTTTTCCCCAGAATCACATACTACAGTATCAGCAAATCCTTCATTTTAAATTTCACATTCACAGCACAGGAAATTTTGAAAAATTATTTGTGTGTTCTATCAATTTTCACAGGGGCCTCTGTTACTGTGTTCTCTTCTGAAGTGCCTACAGAATCATTTGGGCCATAGATTTGTTTTTCTCTTTTTTCCATCTTGAACTACGCGAGGCTTTGCCTATGATCTCAGAGGTTCCCCAACACCATTCGCATCAACTTTCTGAAATAACAACTGTTCCCAGATCTCTAACTTCACTTTGCAGTGCATGTGGGTTCTCTGTCACAGTGTGGACTGCCATTGGCCACACACACATCCATCAAGGCAGGACCCGCCCCCGGGGTAGGGAGTTTCTGGGATCCACACACCTCTGCCAGCCCACTGACCATCTCAGCTCTTGGCAGTGGTGCTGGGTGGGGCCACTTCTAACTCAAATTCCCAAGACACCTCCCTGATGCCCTGCCTCAAGATTCTTCCATAACCATGAAATGCCACCCTGTTCATGCAGGCTCATCCCAGGCTCCCCTCTTTTGTGGGACCATCCTGAGAATTAATCTACACGGTTCCTTAGAAGCCCCCCAGAGGTGCTGAGCTTCAGTCATCCAGAGGGACACCCAGTTCGACATTTCCCCATTTCCTGGGTGTCCCACTTTCCCCGTCTTGTTATCCCCACCCCTTACTCCACCTACACCCAGGTCCGATTTCAGGCTCTGCCTTCAGGGGAGCCTAATCAAAGACACCCACAAAAACATTCCCATGACAGAAAACCCAACCTGGGGTGCCTGCACTGTTGAGCAAGGAGAGGCCTTGAGTGGGGGGCTTGTTTCATAAGTAATCAGTTCATTTGTGGAGACTTGCATTTTCTATGATTTTTCTTCTCTATGAAATTGTCCTAACTCCAAGGAATTATATAATAAATACTCAGCTAAGAAGGATCCCTGAAGGCTCATTTTCCTACTTTGCAGGCAGATACTGAGGCTGAGAGAATTTAGGTAACTAGCAGGAGATGCCACAGCCTGTAAGCAGCTGAGTCAGAAGCCAGCAATCACGTCAGATGCGCCTCAACCACCAGCTTTACAAGCCCAGGGAGCCTTCACTTCTCCAACATCAGCTTCCTTCTGTGAACCACGAGTGGGACAGAGAGTACAGGGCACCTGTACACATTAAATAAGCCAGCCCACACAGAGGTGCTTTCCAACCACGTGCTGTGCTCATTCGAGACGTTATTGCCAACAGTTTTACCTATGTATTGTGAGACAATGTGTTTCCTTCCGCGATGGTAGCACACAAAATAAAGAGGAAAATGTGTTGTACTTTTTAAAGTCCTGCATGCAAGTCAGGAATTCATTTTACCGCTGTGCAACCTTGGACCACTCACTTGCCTTCTCTGGGCTTTGGAGCTGTCACTAACAATGGAACAGTCACCACGATCCCTTCCAAGCATAATATATTACAAGCTCACTGAATTCACACACCTGTCAAGAATTGGTTCAGGCCAGGAAAATCGGCAAAAAATATCAGATGAAAAATTAGGCCCTTGTCCAGGTATGAGTAATGATCAGAAGACAACGTGGTCCATTAAATGTAGACGTTTCAGAGCCCTTTACATCCTCTTCATATAAAATAATAATAAAATTAAATTTATTACTTATTCCTGGAAAATGTTTTGTCTCCATGTTACAGATGAGAAAGCTGCGTTCTGAGAGGTGACGTGAATAGTAGTCATAATAAAAAATTACAACAATGGCCACTTCTACATGGTTAATATAAGCGAGCCATGTGTTGCAGTACTTTAAAGGTATCGTTGTGTCAAATCATTGCCATAAGGAAGTGGGGGATGGGCCACTTTTCACACCAGGAGCCTGAGGCTCAGAGAGTCTGCAACCCGACTGACCCCGCTGAACAAAGAGAAACTCCTTACCGCGGAGGTACTGGTCCAGGCTGACAGTTTTCTGGAAGGCGGGCCTCGACTTGTGCTGGACGAGGCAGACAACATGGGAGAGCATGTCATTTGCCTGCAGGGGGATGAGCACACTGCTGGTCACATTGTAGGTGCCCCCACTGAGGTGGATGCTGGTCTGGGGGTGTGGCAGCGTGCGGTTGTTTTTAAGCCAGGTCACGGTGACCTGCTGTGTGGGGAACCCGGAGGACGTGTACGTCAGGCGGATGCTGGTGCCCGGCTCAGATCGCTGGAGGGGGCCGTGCAAGACCGAAGGGTAGGGGCTGCTGCCTGCAAGGAGACACCACCCCGTGTGAGGACACGAAGGTACCCAAGTCCCAGGGAGAACAAATCCCTAGCATCTCTGTCAGGAAACCTCATTGCCTCCTTGTCCACAGGGTTTAAAGGCTACATTTTAAAGGAGTTCATTTCTGAAGCTGTTATCAGAAGCCAGACCATGAAACTACAGGGGAGCCCAGCAGCGTGGAAGAAGTCCGACTGCCACCCGCATCTCGAAGCCATGCCCATGTCATATGACCCTGCTGGTGGGGTCTGCCTAACTCACCAAGTTCTCCCCAAAACCCTAGGAGGTGGAAGCTATGACTGTTCCCATTTCACAGCTGAGGAAACTGAGACCTAGACAGGCTAGGTAACCTGCCCAGAGCCCACCACTAGTCAGTAGCAGAGCCAAGGTTTTTAGCCCGGCCGTCTCCCTGCAGGGTCTGTGCCTGTGACCACGGCCCGGCTCTGCCCTCTGTCCCTGTGAAGGGAAGGGTGCCTCACTGCTCAAGGCCAGGTCATGTGAAAGCAGGTGGCACAGAGAAGAAGTTAGGAGCACAGGCTCTGGGACCATATTCAACCCAAGTTTGTGTTTCCAGGTCCTCCATTGGGTGAGCCTGAGCAAAGCAACTCTCTAACCCTCGGTTTCCTCATCTGCAAAATGGGGATGATTCTTAATCTTCAGAGTCACTAAATAAATTAAGTAAAGTAGTGTAGAATATGTGGCACATATTAATCACTCAATAAGTGGTCTATCATCACATACTCACAACAAGTTTAATAGTTTCCTACTTTTAGCCCAGCTCTGGTGTGGGCACCATGGAGACAAGCAAACCACGCATCGGAGGGCACCCACTGTGTGCCCCACGGTCAAGCAGAAGTCAGGAAACAAACCCCCAGCATGCACAACAGTTATCACTGCACAGATAGGACACTGAGCTGGGGAAGGGGCAGTGCTGTGCCTGGGGTCACAGTGGGTCAGCGGCAGCCCTGCCATGTGACACCGATCCATCAGACTCCAAGCTCGACCACCTCCAAACACAGGAGCCAGTGTTTGCGTCAGAGGCTGAGAGTCTCATCGTGTAAGGAAGGTGTCGACGGGTAAATCCCATCAGGGATTTGCAGGAGGCCCCCCAGTTTGAGAGACGATTGTGAGAACTAAATGGGCAGCTATGACCATTCAGGAAGAAATAAATGTCAGAAACAGAGTATTTAAGGTTGATTTGAGAAGAGACTTGAGATAACTAGGATTTGTGTTCTCGGGCAGGATGGAAGAGAGAAACCCAGAAAAGCATGCTGAACATGTAAGGAGACAGCCCTGCCTTCCAATTTCAGCTCTGAGATCCTTGAGCCTTGGTCCCTTTGCTGCCTTTCCTGGCTGTCTGAGGTCACATGGGCATGTGAGGCCACCTTGGGGACAGTGAGTGCTCTGCAGGCGTCAGCCCAACGCGAGCAGAGGCACAGCTGGGAGTGCACCCGAGGTGGGTGCTGAAGGAAGGTTTTCTGGGCCAGACTGGGGAGGTGCAGCTGTAAAGGTGCCTCGCACCAAACTCCAGGAAAGGAAGCTGCCCTTCCCCTTTTCAGACCACAGGACGCTTGGAACAGCTGCTCAGGGGTGAGGGAGAATCAGAGTGCTGTTCTCAGGGGGCTGACCTTGCCCCAGTGGGCCAGCACGCAGGCAAAGGGAGAAAGTAAGACAGAGGAAAGACTCAGTCGCTAAATAAACAAGTCAATAAAGAAATAATGTAACTTGCTTCTGATCGGAAAGGACCAGTTTGGGTTTTTTTTCCCACTGGACAGCAAACATTAGGTCATATAGAAATTGAATATGACCTAATTCCCTCGGAGAGCCCTTACAGCAGCCAGGTAATGGCGCAGTCTGTCCGTCCGGGAGAGGTGGAGTGCAGGGTCAAAGCCCCTGCTGCGAAGATGTGTTGTGCCGCCAGCCCTGCGCATTCCATCTGCTCTTTCTCGGTAGTGGCTGGGCTATCCTAGGCTCACGCAGGCGCAGGCGCTCATACTTCCTGGAGGTCGCAGTCCTTCCCCACTCCCTGGGGTTCTGGAGAGCTGTCAGTCCACGCTCCGGTCTAGCCCTGGCTGACCCAGGCCTGGCCAATCATAATTCTCCCTTCTCTCCACTCTTGCTTTCAGTGCCCATCTCCTCCCGCCCGTCTATCCTTCTCCGAAACTGATAGAAGCCGAACCAAAAAAGCAGCTCGCTGCTCCGGGTCTGAACTGCTAGCCGGCAGTACCCTCTAGTGGAGAAAGTCACTGCAGACACAAAGGGTGAGACAGATGAGAAGCTGTAAGGAGGCGCAGGAGGAGGAGGAGGAAGAGAATAAAGGGGAGGGGGTAAAAGGTAGAGAAAGGAGAAAGCGAATTGAGTAGTAGAAAGAGAAGGTCACAGTTGCAGCCACCCTGTCGGGCCTCGCATGAAAATTGACTTACAGAAATTTCCAGGTGAACAAGTTTGATTAAAATCCTTCCAAGGAAAGACTTGGGCGCCTAGCACTCAAATCTCTGCAGTTTCCTGTAATCAAGGTGTTAAAGCGGAGAACTTTCAAGCTGAAGAGTGTGTGGAACTGGGGAGGAGAAGTCCCACTCCTTCCTGGCAAGGTTGTGGGAGAGGGAGGGAGAAGTGGGATTTAGGGGTGGGTGCCTGAGAGTTTTATCACCAGCCCAGGTGCTCAAACTTCCTTCACGTCCATCCCGTGCTGCTCTGAGCCCCTGGCCCAGGTTTTCACGCTGACCCTCTCAGCCACGCCTCCCGGGGGGGCTGGGCTGCAGGCCACACCCACCTTTCCGCTGCCGTGGTGCCTGAGCCTGCAGGGTAATGTTGGCCTGGACTGGGGGCTGACCATCCTGGACTACCCAGCAGGCAAACTCGCTCCCCTCAGGCTTGGCCTCTGCCGGCCACACATGCTCCAGAGAGTAGGTCCCGTCTGAGTTCCTCGTGACCCGCGGGGACAACACGGTCTGGACCGTGTGCCTGTTCTCCATCCAGGTGAGGTGCAGGTGGGAGGGGTAGAAGTGGCTCGCGTGGCAGGTGAGATTCACTCTCTGGTGCGGGCCGTATGCCTGAGAGGGCTGGGTGGTGATCTTCACGGTGGGGACGACTGGGTGGAGGAAGAGGAAGAAGCAACTGTTGAAATTACACCTGCCGCGCCTGCAGCGCCTGCCGCGCCTGCCCCAAAAGGGGCAAGGTGGTCTGGCTCTTTCATCCGTTACTTGTTTTTCAAAGACTAATTTTTTTTCTGTATGTTCAATGTAAGGCAAATGAAGTCAAAGGTTAACAGACGTTAAACATGGGTAGGGATGCATGGGTAGCATAGTATTTTCTGCACGTTTGAAATATTTCATATCATTAAATATAATTTTAAGAATGACTAAAATATAATGCCCATGAGGATAGGGACTTGCTTTATTTATTGCTATATATCCTCAGCACCTAGAACAGTACCTGACCCATAGTCAATACTCATTTATTGAATGGATAATAAATATTTAAAATAAATAATAACTATATTAATAGAACATATATGCTTGGAATGGAAAGTAGGGCCAGGTGCTAAACATTTGTAAACAGCCTACTGTGTGCCGGGCACTCCTCTAGGTGCTTTATAAGAAATAAGTCATTTAATCCTCACAGGACACCTATGGGGTAGGTTTTCATTTTATTTCTATTCTGAGAGGAAGTTGAGGCACAGAGAGGTTGAGCAACTTGCTCAACATCACGCATGCTGTACAGCAGTGCAGAGGGTTAAACCCTGATGGCTGACCCCGGAGCCTGTGCCTTTAAAGGCTGCACTGCATGATGGGCCTTGGCAACGAGGAATTTCACTTTCCCGTTAGTGACATGGGGCTTTGGGGGGAAGGCTTTGGAAGCCAGCACCGCTGGGCAAACAGTGTCACAACCCTCCCGCCCACTCACCTCGGAGCACTTGGGAGAGGTTCATGGTCTTATGCAGGGGCTCTGCCAGGTCCCTGTGGGTGACTTTACAGGTGATCTCCGATGAGACATCTTGCTGCACCAGTGTGACCCACACCTTACTGGTGACAGAGTAATTGCCTTTGCTGTCAGTCACCAGGCCCTGAGCTGAGGCTGGACGCTCATCTCTGTCCTTCATCCAGGTGACGTTGAAGTTCGAGGAGCTGAAGGGGCCAGCGGTGCAGTTGAAAGACACAGGATTCCCAGGGGCTGTCCTCTGAGGCGGGCCGGTCAGCGTGATCGAGGGCTGCCCAGCTGGGGAAAGAGCACCGGTCTGCAGCTGAGAGCTGGACACACTCGGCACTCGGCAGCCTATCAGAGGCGCCTGTGTTGCCAGGCCCTGTGGACCTACTGTGCACCATGTCTGGTTCTAGCCTCAGGGATCATATAAACAGATGGTAACAAGTAAACAAGCAAATGTATGGATAGGAGACTCAAGACTTAGAAAATTTTAGCTTAAGGTAAAAAGTTACAAGTAGTGTGTATGTTAAAGCTTTTGTTTCAGAAACCACAGATAAGGTTTGAACTGGCTACTGGGAAAACTGCTGACCTCCTGGGGCACTGCTAAAGATTACCGCCTGGGGACACCTGGAGGCATCCGGGCTTTGTGTTCCAGGGAGAAACAGATGGCCACCGCCCCTGGGAACAACTAACTGCACAGGACAGGAATGCTGAAGCTTTGCACACCTAATCCTCCCTGAATCTCAAAGCCCTCACCGCACCTTGTTTATTCCCTGTCATAAAAAGTCAGGCCTAGAAAGAGAAGGCAAGATGGTCTGTTAGGGTGTGAACCTGCCATCTTCTCAGATCGAAGGCCATCTGAATAAAGTGCCCATAAAGATTCAATCACTGTCATTGCTGATTGGGTTTGGTACTGACAGGCAGCTCGAACACCAGTGTCCTTTCGGGCTACAATATCATTGCAACTGGGACACCCAGAGAGTGCAGAGAGAGGAAATGCTGGGAGGACTTCTTCTAGAAGAGTGGCAGGAGGAGCCCTGGGGGCGGTGACATTTCAAGCTGAAACTGAGGAATGCAGAGGAACCGGCCCTGAGAAGGGGCAGGGGAAGAACCTTCTAGAAAGTGGGAAGAGCAGGCGAGAAGACCTCGGTCAGGAAGAGCGTGGTGGGCTCGGGAAGCTGAGGGATCGGTAGGACTGCAGCACTGTGGGCAAAGAGGGACGACTGGGCAAGGTCGTGTGGGGCGTCAGGAGAGGGCCGCTCCGCCCCTGTTCAGAGTGCGATGGGAGGCCCCGGGAGGCGGTAGCTGAGCGGCAAGATGGGCCCATCGACAGGCTTTTGAAGACAATTGCGGTGTTGTGTGGAGAACGGACCGGAGGGTGGCGTCTGGGAGCAGGGAGGCCAGCGAGGAGGCTGCTGTGGACTTCAGGAGGTGACGGCACCTGGGCGGGGCTCTGAGAAATGGAGGGATGGAGGCACACTTGGAGGAGAGAGCCAGCCGGGACTGGTAATGGACCCGGTGGAAGATGGGAGACACAATGAATTACAGATAAGCGACTCCCAGGTCTTTCTCTCGAGCATCTGGGTGGATGGTGGTTCTAGTTTTTGAGGGGGCGGGGACTGGACCAAGTCGGGCTGGGAGAGGTGTGGTGAGGAATCGAGATTTCCACTTTGGACACGAGTGTGGAGTCAGGCATCACCACAGGCAAGGGTGCTGGCCCTTCTCCTCCTCCAGGTGTCGCCTTTGGCACACAGTGCACCTGCCTCGCTGGGCAGCTGTCCTCTTCTTGCTCACCTCCAGCAATGGGGGCTCTTTCCACCTGAGGCAGCTCCCTGTGTCCTCACAGAGCCAGGGCCAGGACAAAGTACTTTGTCTCCTAACTAGGATCTGTCTCCTAAAGTCGTCCCAGGACCACGGCAGTGCCTGAGGCTTCCCTCCCCCTCAGGACAGTCTGCAGAGATCCGAGAGTGGTATCCCCTGAGCCCCTGCTCTGAGCCAGCATGTGAGCTGGGGGCTGGAGACACAGAGGTGAGTCAGACAGGATCCCTGCCCCTGGGAGCATCTGGTCAGGTGTGTGGGGGGAGGAGGGGTGCAAATAAACCAGCAATGACAGCACAGGGTGGCAGGTGATGAAAGGCGGCTCCAGGAACCATAGGAATATGTCTCCTTAGCAGTGAGCTCTGGTACCTCCTGCCTAGTGCTCTCCTCTGAGTGAGCCCTAATGACAGCTATCACCCCATCTGCACACAGCACCCGTGGTTTGTAAAATACTTTCAGGTGTGTGCACTCATCTTCATCCACATCCCAACTGAGTATTGGTATTGTCCCCATTTTACAGTGGAAGAAATGCAGGCTCAGAGAGGTTGAGTGACTTGTCCAAGATCACACAGCCTATTAGTGGTTAAGGGGGGACGTAGAGCAGGTCAGAGAGGATCCCTGCAGCGCCAGCCCTCTTCCCACAGCACCAGGTACTCCTTCACGCAGGGCCTCCTCTCTCCCTCTGTCTTTCCCACCTCCATGCCCTCTCTGACCCAGACCTGGTGGCCACCCAGACCAGGGCTGACATCAAAGAAACTGGGTGGGAGATGGGCTCCTCTTTCACCCTCTGACCCCCACCCCAACCCCTGGCCCCCAAAGCTCCCATCATCTCTATGTCCCACAAAGTCCACATTGAGGAGAAGGTGCAAAACAGCACCCTGGCCAGCAGGTACACAGCTCAGCTAGGTCTCTGGGTGTCAGTCCCCCTTCCCACCCCTCGACACACATGGTGGCTGGACTTGGTACCCCCGAGGGCCTCCCCGCCTGACCTGAGGGTCCCCTTGGGCAGCACTCAGAACTCACCGGTGAGTCCCAGCAGCAGGGTGGGCAGGAGGGAACCCAGGGCCGGCCCACGCGTGGCAGGCATGGCGGCAGGCTCACAGCGTCTCTGGTCCGTGCCAGCACCCATCCCAGATGTGGCTCTGCCTGCACCCAGGAGGCACTGCCTGGTGTCCTGACAGCCTGGGCGGGCACGTATCTCCCAGACACCCTCCCACCCCCAGGCTGGAGCAGTGTGAGAGAAGTGGTCGCTGTGGCCCAGGCTTCCTTCCAAACACCAAACCCTCAGGGCTGAGGTCTCCAGCAGGGGAGGTGCCTCCTGCCTTGGACCTGGGTGCGGACTGTCTCTTATGCCCTGCCAGCCAGGACAGAGAGGCACTGGCTCCCCCCCAGCTTCTGCTACAGAGCTCCCTAGGGAAGGTGAGCCCCCTCCTCATGGAGACATGATCCAGGGCTGGCTCTGGCCCCTGCTCAGGGATGTCTTTGGGGACCATAGGAAATGAATGGGATGTGGCCTGGGAAAGACCAGTGAAGTGAGCCTGGACATGCACAACCCAATAAGACAAAGGTACATCATGGACCATGAACCCAAACCCTGCCCCATCACCCCCTAAGCTCATACAATGTCAGCCAAGACCCGTCCCATTGCCCGGAACTGTCTGCCAGGCTCCAAGTTTGGGGAAGGAGAATGTCAAGCACAACCGCCATCTCCTGGGCTTCTTCCCTTGGCTGCTCCTGACTCTCCCACCCCCATATGCTTCTGCTCTATTTGGCTTCCCAGTGGCTTGTCCAAACATGCATAGTATTGGTTTTTCTCTGGTTTCCCATGAAAAATGATTGGCCATGAGGATTGCTGCCTTTCAAACACTCCAGTAACCAGTAACCAGCACCCAGCGCTGTGCTGGACAGAGTAGGTACTCAGTAATGAATGAAACTTTGGGACTGGACATGTGCTCAGGACTGATTAAGAAGAAGCAAAATCCAGCCTGTGCATCCCTCCCCACCAGCTGTCCCATCTGCCCCATGCTCTGCACACTCGGCTAACTGTGGGGGTAGCCGGGGAGAATGGGGGTACAGGGAGACTTATCAAATCTCTCCCCTCACATGCCCAGCACTACCTCAGCCAAGCAAGGCACCCTTAGACGATAACTCCTAGAGATGGGGGAGGGGGTGTTGTAGGAAGAGGAAGTCAGCTTCTCCGAGTGTCTCCTAAAGCACACAGTGGACTTGCTGCCGTGAGCAGGAGAAAAGGGAACTGGAAAGGAATGGCAGGGCGGAGAGGCAGGGTGGCAGGGGTGCAGCCTGAACTTCCCCCATGCCGAATTGCGGGGGGTGGGGTGAGGTTCTTGGAGAGCGCCCCCTTGAGGAATGTGGTCAAAACTGAGCATCCTGTCTGCAGCCCACTCAAGGCCCCAAAAGCCATAGACAGCTGCATGAACTCCAGGGGCCCGAGCTGTGCAGCTGGATCAGATCGTGCACGAGAGAGCTGGCCAAGGGCACCCCTGCACACACGCACAGGTGCACACACACGCATGCAGACGCACAGGCCCCCTGCCTCCGCAAAGGATCCACACTTGGACCCAGTTCTGAGAAAGGTGGAGGAACAAAAGACCTCTTGGTCTCCACCCCTTCCCTGCCCTCCGCAGGGACTTGGTGGGGTGGGAGCAGTGGCAGTCTCTTCAGCTCGAGGAGGAGGGTGTGACGTGGGCACCGACCACACTGGAAGAACCAGCTAGTTCAGACGGGACTTTCGACAGAGCCTGACACAGAGTAGCTTTTTCATAAAAGTTTGATAAAACAAGTCATCCATGCCATCCGTTTGTGCAACAACTACAGAGCACCTTTCTGCCAGTGTCCAGAAGGGTAGGCTCCGCCTTAAGAAACTGAGAGGGGCAGGCAGGAGAAACGGGACGGAGCTGAGCTGAAAGCGGCTCAGAGAACAATAAAGCCAGTTCAGGCGGCGCCCTGCAAAATGCGGACAGTTCAGTGAAGTGGTCACACCAGCCAAGAGCCTTGGTCAAATCTGGACCTCGGGGTCCTCATCTGTAGCAAGAGGCTGGTGGTCTCTGCCTGTGGCTGAGTCTTACTCACAGAAGGTCTAGAGTACTAAGCATAACAGTGGAGCTAAATAAATGTTCTAATCCTGAGAAATGTGGCTCCTCCATCGTTCTCCTTCCCGCTCCGCCCACCTGTTAGCTCCTCCCAGAGGACTTTCTGCCCTCAGCCAAGCTCTGTCTCCAGAAATGCAGGGTGAGCCACGCACAGCGTTTTAGATTTTCTGGTATACAGATTGAAATAGAAAAAGTAACAAGAGATCTTAATTTTCACTAATATATTTTTTTTAACCCAATACCTGAAACTGTATCATTTTAACATGTAAACACTATAAAACATATTATGATAGCTTACCTCATTTTCCTCTTTAGTCTAAAAAATCTTCAACAGTTAAAGTGAAATGTAGTCCCATCAAAACAATACAGTTGTGTTTAACAACAAAACACGCATATTTTTATGCTGCTTGAGTTATAAAAGTTACATTTCAAGTAATTAACAGGAAATAAAATTTAAGATTCAGTTCCTCTGTGGGTCTAGCCACATTTCAGTAGCCACATGGGGCTAGTGGCCGCCCTACTGGACAGCATGGTCTGGGGCAACGTGCTCCTTCCTCAGGAATGTCTCTCCAGCCCTGATGCCCCCCCACCCCGTGGGTTCAGGTACTTCTCTTGCATAGCAGAGATCACAGCTGCAATTTAATCGTAATGGGCCATTAGAGTGCAATGTCCCTGACTGGACAGTAAGCTCTGCGAGGGCAGGGGCCGTGTCCTTGTTCACGTCTGAGAATGACTGCCAGGAATACAGCCTGCGCTCAGCGAGTGTCTGTGGGTTGGATGGATGGATGGTTGCGTAAATGAACAAGAAGAGTTATGGGGTGCTATGGGGCTAAGGAAAAGGAGGAAGCACTACCAATGGGAAAGCTTCTCGAAGGCTTCCTGGAGACGGTGACCTGGACCTCGATGGCCCCCACAACTTCAGTCACACCGTTTCCATGAAACGGGGAGACTGGTGACTCCAGGGTGGGGCTGCAGGGGGTGGGCAGCCACGTGTTGCCTGTTGTGTGAGGCTAGGAAGCTGGAAGAGAAGTGGGGAGACGGGAATCACCTGGGAGGCGGTCTGAGTGTCACGGCACCCACAGGGCTCGCCAGCCAGGCCGCATGCCCACGGGGCGAGGCTTGGTTTCCTGCGAGTGGAGCCACGCCAGCCTCCTTCCTGATTCCACTGCCAGCAGGAAGTGGGGCTCACCCAGTCTGTAAGCTCAGCCTTTTATGTGTCTGGGGGCCCAAGAGGCCTCTTCCTGAGCTCAGGCCCCAGCCCGGGCCTAGTGACTGAGAGGCACGGAGAGGCCCAGGCTCCTCAGAAAGGGACATGGATGTAAAACCGGTTCAGGCTGCCAGTGCTGCCAAGTGTACACAGTTCAGTGAAGGGGTTGCACCAGCCCCGGCCCTTGGTCAAATCCAGATCTCAGTTTCCTCATCTGCAAGGGACGAGTGACCTCTACCTGTGACTGTTTGAGTCTTATGCACAGAAGGTTATAAGTGCTAAGCATAAAAACCGAGCTAAATAAATGTGAGTTTCTATCCTAAGAAATGCACCCCCCCCACTTCATATTTCTCCCACCTGGTAACTCCAACATGACTTTCTAGGTGGGGGTGTGGGTGGGGGTGAGGATAGGGGCTGTCAAGACCCCTACATGGCAAATCGCCATCTAACATCCCAACCCCTGCTGCAGGGACCCATTAGCTTTCACCCTCATCCATCTTCTTAGATGGGGCCCATTCCCAGCTTGGACGAGCCGCCCCTGTCACCCTGCTGCTCCTCCAAAGCTCTGTCTTTCCCTAAGACAGCGACCCAACTCCTTGAGTGTAGAGACCCTTGCTTGTCCACTTGCTCCATGTCTGAGTCCTCAATGCCTAGCCCAGCACCTGACACAGAAAAGCCTCTGAACACATTTGCTGAATGAATTCCTTTTATTAGTAGCTCATTCATTCCCACGACAACCCTTGAGAGAGTGCCAGTGGGCGCCACGCACCAATCAAGGCCCTGAGCCATCAAGTGGTGAGCGAGGCAGGTCCTGACCCTCAAGGAAGCTACTCGAGCTATTGTATTTTCTAGAGGGGAGGGCGGAAAATAACGAAACGAATATGCAGCCTAATTTCAGGGAAAGTTAACTGGTACAAGGAAAGTCAAGAAGGCTGGGGGAAAGAGAGGGGTGGGGTGTGTCTGGCACAAGGTGCTCAGGAAGACCTGTCAGGGGAGGGGCAGTGAGCGGAGCCGGGAATGGAGCGGGGAGGCATGGGAGATCTGCGGGAGAGTGCTCCAGAGAAGGGATGCAGCTCGCAGGGTAGGTATGAGCTGGGGGTGGGGGGTGGCTGAGCAACAACAAGGTCACCCAGGGGGCAGCATAAGGAGAGGGGGCTGCCAGTCATGGCAGAAACCTCAGGCCTGACCTTACAGGCTGGGGCAGGGGTGGGGGGACAGTGGTTAGAGAGCAGGGGTGTGGCAGGATCCAATCTGTGCATTGAAAATTCATACTCTGGTGGCTGGCGGTGTCACTTTGGAAGAGGGTCAGGGAGCAAGCAGGGCCAGAGAAGCAGCAGGAGGCCACTGCAGCTGTAGGCAGCTGGACACCAGAGTCTGAGGCTTGGGGGAGAGACGGGGATGGTGGGGGGAGAGACAGACATTTGCAAGTTGTCAGCATGTGGACGGTCTCTAAACACTGCACAGGATGAGACCAGTTCGGGAAAGCATGGAGGGGAAAGAGAGGGAAGGTCCCAGGGCTTGGACGTGGTCTGATTCTGCCACCAGCGTGCAGGCTGACATTGGGCCATGTCTCTGGGCCTCAGATTTACAAATGAACATGGAAAGGTTTGGGCCAGGTGATCACTAAAGACCCCCTTCCGTGAACACCCACAGGCCTGGGTTCACATCCTGCACTTGGTACCCCAGCCCGGGCCCAGGCCTCACTCACAACCTCTGCTGAGCCTGCTTCCTGCAAAGTGCCAGGTGCCATCATGGGTGTGTGACCCCTGTGGTTGCAAATACCCTCACTCAGAGGGACCCGTGCTTGCCTCACGGCTCTGCCGTCATTGAAACACTTGATGATGTCTAAAGGAGGCCGTGCGTTCTCCGCGTGCACCGGG